CCCTAAACCCCTAAACCTAGACCCCTAAACCCCTAAACCCTAAACCCTAAAACCTAAACCCTATAAACCCTAAACCCCTAAACCCTAAAACATAAACCCTGAACCCTGAACCCTGAAGCCCTGCGCCGACTCTGAAGGAATCCTGGGGCTTCTCCCAAGGCCCCACGATTTTCAGGGCTTCGGTTTAGGGCTTATGGTTTAGGGTTTGGGGCTTCGGTTTACGGCTTAGGGTTTCGGTTCAGAGCTTCGGGTTTAGGGTTTAGGGCTTCGGTTTTGGGCTGAGGGTTTAGTGTTTAGTGCGTAGGGTTTGGGGTTTAGGGTTTCGGTTTAGGGTTGAGGGCTTCGGTTTGGGGCTTTGGGTTTCGGTTTAGGGCTGAGGGTTTAGTGTTTAGGGTTTCGGTTTAGGGCTCAGGGTTTCGGTTTAGGTCTGAGGGTTTGGGGTTTAGGGCTTCGGTTTGGGGCTTATCTTTGTCACCTGTATGTTTTGGGTTTGTTTCGTGGTTATGCAGAACTTGATGCATGGTGTGGCGAGGCGATGGACACCCCAAGGACATACCCGGCCGAAGGCTTCCTAAAGTATGTCCTGGGGTTGTGCAAGAAGCTCTCCGTGCCCTTCGATGCCGATTTGTCGACCGTCCTCTCTGTGCGGGCCTCGCGCGTGAGTGTCTGATGTCGTATGGTTGCTTTTTGACTACCGTGCTGGATTTGCAGGCAGAGATGATGTTGCAGGGCTGGTGCATGGACAAGGCTTGGAAGCTCGGGGGCTTGGAGAATAGCAAAGTGAAGGCGCTGGCGCGATGTGTCCCTTGGCAGTGTCGCAGAGCCGAGCTGCGTTGTTGTGTATTCGGTGATTGGTGGCAAGCGCTGAGGAGGAGAATATTCCTCCCGACACGCTCCTGGGCATGGTGTGGTTTCCGAAGGGGCTAGAGGTGGAAGCCTTAGATTCGGGTGAACGTGTGCTATCACGCAATCAGCTACTGCCGCGCTAGCTGAGATGATCACCCTTGCGGCCGAGGCAGCCCCCCACGTGCATGCCGTGCTCCGCCAGCGAACAGCACGGAAGCCGGGCTATGCTTGCGCAGCATAGACGACTCTTGTTGTTGCAGTGGTGCGGCTACTGCTATTAGTCACTTGTCTTGCAGGACAGCCGGTGAGCACTGCTTGCTGGACGAGCTTTCCTATCTCTTCGGGGCAAAGGTGCGGGTGTCCTTTTGCTTCGGCAGTGAAGTAGCGCATGGAGACGGGGGCAGATAGAAAGGCGAGGGTGTCGAACGCGGAGATGAGCCAATCCAACGGTCGCAGGCAGGATAATGTAGTATTTGACCGCTGCCATACAGCAGCGAAGAGGTGGTCTCTACCACGCGGCCGACAGCATGGACCATTGCCTCACAGCCAAAGGCCAGGGTAGGTGTAGTTTGCATGTTTTGCGATATTGCGAGTAGGCTGGGCCGAGACATCCGTCGCTCAGCACATTGGCGAAAATCCGAGTGTCTGGCGCCAAGGCCTTGCACAGATATTGCGGCACAGATTCAATGCGAAGGATCCTCCTTAGATTTCTACCACGACAAATTTGGCTGTGGCGTTGTACTTCGCGTGCGCAAAGGTCCTACCATGAACTATCGGTGCCAACTTCCACACCAGTTGTACCAGGGAAATCCAGGCGATGACCTGCCATGTTCGAGCCCGAGCACATGACCACGTATCATCTCTACGAGGCCAAAGTACAACAGCCTTAACAGCAGCGTCAGGACAATGCTCGAACGAACTGGGGGAACGACTGGCTGCCGTCCGACGAGCTCTACTCTCGTGCCGGCGCCGGGACCTTGCCTTCATAGCTCTCTGGTGACATTCCCTCAATGCGCAGGCAAAGCTCTTCACATAATGGACGCACGAGTTTTTGGTGCGTCATGAAGTACATCCACGTGATGTCGTGGGTTCCTATGCAGGGGGGTTCGGTTTAGGGCTTAGGGTTCAGTGTTTACGGATACGGTTTGGGGCTAAGGGTTTCGGTTTAGGGCTTAGGGTTCAGTGTTTAGGGCTTCGGTTTGGGGTTTAGGGTTTCGGTTTAGGGCTTAGGGTGTAGGGTTTAGGGCTTCAGTTTGGGGCTTGGGGTTTCGATTTAGGGTTTTGGGTTTCGGTTTGGGGCGTAGGATTTCGGGTTAGGGTGTATTATTGGGTGTATGTAAGGTTTTAGGGTTCAGAGGATAGGGTTAACAGTTTTGGGTTTAGGATATCCGTGGGTTTAGGGTTTGGGGTTGAGGGTTTCCGGTGTATAGGATGTAGGGTGGCTAGGGTGTAGGGTCTCTAGGTTGGAGGCATGGAGCTTTGAGATTGGGGCTTTTTAAGGCTTTCGGTGAACACGTTTCATCTTTTTTGGTCTTGGGTTCCTTCAACCCAGAAACCCTAAACCCTGAACTCTAAGACCCTGAACCCTGAATCTAAAACCCCAAATCAACAAGGGAGCCGTCTTCATTCCTAGGTTGCTGGGGATCGTCATCTCCGAGTCAATAGGACAGCTGTTACCCGGGTTGTTATGGGTTTTAGAAGGTTTGTATAGGGTTCAATGTGGGTTTATGATTTCACCATTTTTCAAGGCTGTTACAGGGGCTTTTTGACGGTTAATGGTACCTATCGGGCTATCAGGGTTTAGGCTTAAGGTGTTAGGTTTTGCAGTTTCTCGCGTCCATATGTAAGGATCTGGAGTTTGAGCTCTTCTGGTTTCTGGCTCTGGGGGTCTAGGGTGTTGTGTTCAGAAACCCACAAAAAAGTGCAACAACTGCATCTTGATCTTGACGGTTTAGGGTTTAGGGTTGGGGCGTCGATGTTGTGCGGGGAATGCATGATGGGAGTTGTGCGCGAAGGACCGAGATTGCTCACACCGCTCATTTCGGGGACGGCGGCGTCAGCACCACTGCTACCACCACGTCATCTACCGCTGTTGCTGCTGCTACTATTGTCTGATGACACTACAACAACAGCAGCAACAACAACGACTACTACGACTACTATTACGACTACTACTACGACTACTATTACGACGACTACGACTACGACTACGACTACGACTACGACTACGACTACGACTACGTTTACTACTACTACTACTACTACTACTACTACTGCTACTACTACTACTACTGCTACTACTACTACCTGCTATACAGGAACACAATTGCAAGCGCAAATCTATACACGGATTTCCGACTTTCGTATCATTACTATGTGCTTCTATCTGTATATTCCTTATCTTTTCTTTGCATACCCAACGTGCTTCTCTCTTTCTTGATAATGGAGCTTCGTAGGTTTACATGGTAGTTTTCCGGTAAATGTATGCGCCTCCAGATTCGGAGCTCGTGCCCTGGACCCGGAACTGGGGAGAAGAGCGCTGCTGCTTTCGCCCCTTGCCAGGGCTTGTTGGAGCCCGGTTTCATTTCGCAGGTTTGTCTTGGCTCGGGGTTTTTGAGTTATCTGGGTTCATGAGCTTCGATCTTGTTCAGGCATCAGGCTTGGCATATGGAGCTACCAGTATTTGGTGGCCGGTGGTTTCTTTTAGGGGCCCGGGCTAAGAACCCTTGCCTGTCACATTGGGTTCAAGCAAGTTCGGTATCAAAGGAAGGGTTATTTCGGGCTCTGGGGGTTGGGGTTTCACGAATTGGGATACAGCTTTCGTGCAGTAGCGTTTTAAGTTGTTGTGTTTGCTTGCACGTTCTTCTGGGTTTGGGTTTAGGGTTTAAGGTGTTCCGGGTCGTGGGGATTTGTGGCGTACTTGGCCTAGGGTTTGCAGGGCTCACTTGCGTTAAGGGCCAGTCGTTCGTTTTGATTTGTGATGTTTAACGAGTTTGAGGCGGAGAGACCAGCAATCCTGGAGGGTCCAAGAATCCGAATAGTAGGGGGTTGCGACCCCAATGCCACTTAAAACCTTACTGTTTCGACACTTGGAACGAATATTTGGACCGCCAGTTCCAATTTCCGCGGTCAGGGATCGAGCAGAAAAGTACATCTCTTTAGGGCTTGGGCTTAGGGTTTAGGATTTGGCGTTTAGGGGTCAGGACTGAGGCTATTAAGGGTTTGGGGCTTAGGGTGTAGGGGTTAAGGAGGCTTTAGGGTTTAGGGTTTAGGGTTTAGGGTTATGGGTCGCTTGGCAGTTGGGCGATCTATTCGGGCTGAGGAGGTAGCCTTTAACTGGTTGGGGCTTATGCAATGTCACTCTAATTTAAAAGGTTAGCCTTTTGGGGGTTATTGTAGTCAGCCCCTAACATTCTAGTAGAGTTACACTTGTAGTATAGTTAAATTGTTGTTACAAAAGGGATGAGAGGGACTAAGGTTCAGGGTGCAAGGTTATTCTTGCTCCCGGCAGTCTTGAAAACCTTGAACATGCCTTTTGAAGCAAGTGTAGGCCACTGCACTGCCGACAATGATCAAGGAAGTGCGCAGAAAAGAAGATACCCAACAAATCCGTCTCACAATCAACCTGTACAAGAGCTCACCCTGAACCCTAAACCCTAAACTTCAAGAGGTCATAAACCCCCAAAGTCTGCACCTTAACCTTAAACCCGAAATGCCCCCAACAAAAAACGTGCCTGAGCACTTACTGGTGAGGCCCTGGCCAAAAGCCCCGGAGCCCAATACCCCCTTTTATCATGAAAAATAGCTTACATCATATAATACTAATATGAAGCCCCTTATTCCTTGAGGGTGGGACGCCCTCGGGCCCCCATATTTACAGCGTTTTCGCATGTTTTAGAACGAAAATCGCCATTGAAATAGAAGGATTGTATAACACTTGTAAATGCACTGCACTCAGTTCCAGATCAATTCGTACGTCAACGGTTTCTGTCATTCCATATACCAGACCTTTTTCCTTGGAAGCATGTTTGCAGTAATCGAAAATATCACCTATGTTGATAACAATGAAAGATGACAAAGGAACAGATGTACTCGTGCCACAAGAGTGTGAAATATCCCCACACTGCATCCAGAAGATGCGGTCTCAGCATACCGCCATATATGATAGCTTAGAGCCATGTCTTTGCATGTGGTGTACCGTATATCATTCAACTACCCCAGTGAAAATAATATTGTTTATGGAACTTGCACGTCAACGTGTATGTGACTCTTATGCAAATCAATGCCACAGTCTGGGCCAAA